GGGGGGAGGGTGCAGGTGAGCTCTTGTTAGACTAAATTTGGGTATGAGAAGGTGCCAAACCAACAGGAGTTTTGGAAACAGCAGGTGGGAGGAGGGGGAGAGACCAGCACAGTTGTAAACCAACAGATGATCTCTGTAGATGCTCATTCAACTACTTGCTTCCTACTGTGGCTTTTTTTCTCTTCCTACAGTTGAGGCAACTCTTATCAGAATCCCAGGATCAGCTGGAGGCAGCAAAAACAGAAGCTCAGAAACAAAGCAAGGAGTTGGCACTGGTAATGGTTAACTTTTTTTCTTTAATGCCCACTTTAAGGGCTGGTCTCTACTAACATAGTTCTCTGTGTGTGAGAGAACTATAACTGATAGAGTTCTCTTGCCCACTGCCTCCGGTATGGTGGCAGATCATGCTGGTACAAATATCTTTTACCTCCATTAAAAGGGTTGAGGGGGAAAAGATTGAACTGCACATGCCTGCACTGTGAAAACAGGGCTTAATATAAAAGCTGTCTAATGTTGGGAGGGGCAGGCTGGGAAGTCCATGTGTTTGAATAACCACATCTTATGCCCGGGTGGTGCTGATGAATCTCCTTCTATAAAGACCCTTACGAACCTCTGCTTAAATCAACATAAGGTCTTTTCAAGACCTGCATCGGACTAAAGTGCTCTTTGTGTGATCTGGCAGCCTCTAGGTGGGGTGGGGAGGCAGAACGACAGGAGAGGGTGGCGTGAAATACCTGTGCCACAAATCCTCTTCTGCCGGGCTTCAGACCTTTGTAACAAAGTTGGATTCCTCAGTGCTTCAGCCACACCAGATTTTTTTGAAGGCGGAAACCTGATTTGGAGCCAAGGATCAACTTTTAAATGTTTGCTTTGAAAAATGATTTGGCTTCTTAAGTTTGCTTTTACCCTTGCCATGGAGGTGAGTGTTATGGATGGAGAGGAATTGCTAAGCAGACTTGCTGGTCTGTAAGGACACCCAGCCAGCACTTCAGCTGTACTGTGGTGTCTTCAGAATGGCAATAGCAGGTGGTCCTTTGAAGTGACTTGGGGCAAGTGGCACATCACTTGAATGGATTTGAGGTTTAACATTAGGGTTAAGTAATTGCAACAATTGGTTCTATGTACGTTACTTGCTGACACTTGACTTTATAACGAATCTTATGGTTGCATGTTGGGAAAATGGCAATATAGCCTTGTACATTTTTTTTGAAGTCACTGGGGACTGTTAGCAGATTTAAACTAAGTTTAGCTAATAGCACCTCCTGGCATTAAAAAAAATAAAAAATAAAAAAAAAAAAGTGACAGGGTTATACTGGCCTTTCTTAGCTTGAGGGCTTGACTCTGCAACCATAATAGTCTTCTTGCATGTGTATCAATATGCTCCTTTTTTTGATCTGTCCCTGTCTTCAGACCTAAGAAGCGGATGCCTGGTGAATCTGGAGTCCATAGGCTATGAAAACAGGGCCAGCAGCTTGTGGCACAAGATTTGCTTCAGTTTGGAAATTGCTGATGGGGCATCTTTCAAATGCCTAACCTTCTAGGAACCCAGTCCCTCAGTGTGAGGAGAAATGGCCGAGGGGGGATATTTTTGTGAAGGAGCCAGCAGTAGTGTCAGTCCCAGACTTCCAGAAATCATGAATTTGGCTTAAAGTATGATCTGGAAGGAACACTAACTTCTTATTGGCTTCCAGATGTTGAGAGCTTTTACAGGAACACCTTTCAAAGTCCCCCCTCTCCCAAGTAGGACTGGAAACTTTGCCTTTTTTAAAAAAGAGGAGTTCATAGTAGAAATTGAGAAGCTCTTTAAGGCTAATGAAGCAGGAGACTGGACTCAGGTGTCCAAAGGGCCTTTCCAGTGCATAGGAACACTGAAATAGCCCCATAAATGCATCGCTGCAGATGCTGGGGCTTTAGGGAAGACTAAATGGCAAAAGTCTGGCTAACAATGATTTGACAACCCAGATTTACCTCTTTATAAATGGACAGAAGCAGGGCAAATCTAAATCATTAGATCTCCCTGAGTGGGATGCCATCTGCAGCTTAGCTAGAGTTACTGTTTGGAATGCTGAACTCCCACCATGCATTTGAAGCACAATCATCTGGCTCATTAAGCAAGCTGGTGCTGATCTATACCATTTAGGGAACTTGCCTCTGGGAATAAATTAGATTAATCTAATTAACTGCAGAAGCAGTTGTGAATATTGAGCAGGTGTGTTTTCCTCAGACAACTTTCTCCATCTCCTCCTGTGCCGCCCCCCCCCCAGCTTGTGCAGATCAGGACACTTGCTGAAGATAAGTTTATAGTGCTAAACCTTAAGGTTCAGTACCCATGTATCCATAAATTGCAATGCTCTATGAATGAGGTGTCAATTGCTGATCAAGCAGAAGCTTAACTTGCTGGTTGGGGTGACCTTGTCCTTCAGAATGGAAGCAAGGACACATTAAATTTTTGTTTTGCCTTCAAGTGTAGGTGTCCTTCAGACCCAGTGTGCATGCACCTTGACAGCTGCTGCAGGTAACTGAGCCACACATGCTGGTCCTTGTTTCAGGTCAGGCAGCAGTTGAGTGAAATGAAGAACCATGTGCAGGATGGAGAAGTAGTTGGGTTACAGGCTGACCAAAACGAGCACAAGCCTCTCAAGGTTAGGGTGGTGAGATCCCTGTGTATCCCAAGATGCTGATTAACCATTACACCTGTCTTGTCTCCCCATCTGTTCCTGCATGATAACAGCACGTGGCTTCACTGATGGCTGTTGTGAATGTATTGAATGAAGTTGGGGGAGGAGTGTCGTGGTGCTCTTGGTGAGGTGATTAACTTTGTGAATGGGATAACAGGAGAGGAAGAAGTGATGTTACCCTGGGCCAGCTCTAAAGTTAAAGAGACTATCCAAAAACCTCCAGCTCTCAGATAAGGGTGGTGGTGTTTCAGGCTACCCAGATGCAGCAAAACAGATGCAGCTGTATGTCACAAGGACTGAATAGACAGCAGGGAGGGAAGGAAGTACCACTCTTTGCTTGAGTTAGGGCATAGAGGAAAGGCATTTGTGTCCCCTCTTGTTCGTCTAAAAGGGGGAGCTCACAAAGGAGAAAGGATACCCATATGCTCATTTAACCAGAGTTGGGTTAGGGGCAGTAGGCGAGACTGTCACCACTAATACCTCTTCTGTAGCTTACTGACACCACGATCTGCGTTGCCTGCTCCTTAGGCCCTAACCCTCTTCACTGTGGAGCCTTCCCCAAGGTGCTGTTTTACTGTCTGTGTGTTGGGAGAGCTGCCAGCTAAATCTGTATGTCCCAGTCTGATCTGACTGCTCCAGCCCAAATTTTAATGGGGGCTGTATAGGTAGAGCCAGTGTCCAGTCTCCCACCAGGAGTTGGCATGGTCTGGAGATGGAAAACTACCAGCTGTACATTTCCTTTAGCTAAATCTTGGTCTTTGCCAAAAGGGGAAGCTTTGAGGGAAGTGCGGCCTGGCAGCTGCTTCTCAAGGCTTTGGGGAAAGCTCTGGGTTTTGTCTCTCTCTTCTAGCTTTCAAGTTAAATCCTTGCAGTTGATTGGTGTCCTTGACTTAAGGACTCTTTCCTTCTCTTTTTTTGTAGTTGAAAACTCAACTGGAGCAAACAGAAGCAAACTTGGATAGCGAGCAAGCGTTGAGGCAGAAGCTAGCACTGGAGCTGGAAGAAGTAAGTCTCTACCCCTGAGAGAGAGGAGGGGTGACTGCTGTTGGCCAAAAACAGGTCTTGCACCCAGAAGCAGGTTTCTGCACAACCTGGTGGCAGAAATAAGTCAGATGTGAGACCTTACACAATCCCTAGAACAGTAGGGTTCTGTGTCCTTTCCCCACTGAATCTCTTGTTGCCTCCAAATGAAGGTGATCAGACTAAGGGGTTGTGATCTTATCCTATAGTTATTTAGTCTAAAACACAAAGCAAAAAGGCCCATAACCTTTTAACCCTTCTGACAGTGCCAAAGAACCAATGGGTTAATATTATAAAAAGTGTCTCCCTCCCTCCCTCCCCCTTTGAGACTAGCTTCTTAATGGTGCACACTTAATAGTTGAGACCCTGTAGACTGATACAGTAATAAAGGCAGCAAAAATGGTTTGTCAAATCAAATGCTTTGCTATGAAGCTTGTTTCTGCGCATCGAGTAATTTCCTTTTAAGGTTACAATGATGGAGAGTATAATATGCATATGCCACTTCCTAAAATATTTGTCATCTTCCTGTTGGCAAAATATTTAAGTAGCTAAAGCTGCAGTAACAAACCTCAGGTTGTATTTGCCTGAAGGCAAATATCTACTCCCAGGTCCTCTTTCGCAACCATTTGGGAATTGTCCTGTATTTTCCCCTGAGTAGTGACTTAATGAGTCTTTTTGAGGACCCAAGCTAAGGTGTTTATTAATGGCTAGGTGCTTGACACTGACAGCTGAGGCCCCTTCATAAGGTGTCCAGTTGGGCTCTTAAAATACCTACTTGCCTCAAATGTAGATATGCTTTACCTACACTGTAGGCCAACAGCTAGGGTTCCCTTCTTTAGCATTTTTTTCTCACCCTGTTGTACTACACGTTCTTTCCCTTCCCTACTAAAGAAGCCCTGAAGACTCCTACTTTTTTTCTCTCTGTACTTGATGTGCAGGAAATGACTCTCACAGTCGGGATGTGTTGGCTGTCAGTTTTGGAATTCTTTCTTTTTTTTTTTCCTCCCCCTGCATGCTTCCCCCATTCCCACCCCCACCCCCAAGAAAAAAAGAAAAAACACAAACAAAAACTGCTTTCCAAATAGCTTTCAAATAAGCTTTTTATCTTAAGCCTGAATAATGGGATCTGAGTCTATTGTATTGAGGGAAAGGAGGACTGGCTGTCTCTGGAGAGAGAGCTCTCCTGTATTACCACCCCATGAAGGAGCAGGAAGAGAAGGGGCAGGACTGAGCTAGCCCTGTGAACAGGTGCCAGCTACCCCAAGTTTTTGTTTAAATGAAGGCAGTTTCTGAAATTCCTGCTTTCCAACATGGCCACCATGGAATGGGGTGAGACTTGGGATGCTCTTTGACCCCCTCTCCTACCCCCAAACACACAACCAACACTGCATGATACTTAAGTTGGATGTCTGGTTTTTTTGGAGCGTAAACCCATAGGCAAAATCCAGTGTCAGGGCCTAGCCACAGCAGCTGGTTTCTAGGAGCAGTTTGCCATAGAATCAGAAAATTCAGGTAAGAAGGGACCTCAGAAGGTCATTTGGTTTAACCCCCCACTCAAAGCAGGACAGTCCTGAACTAGATCATCTCACCCAAGGCTCTGTCTAGCTGGATCTTAAAAACCTCCAAGGATAGAGATTTCCCCACCTTTCTGGGTGACCTGCTCCACTGCTTTACCACCCTCCTAGTGGTGGGTTTTTCCTAATATCCAACCTAAACTTTCCTTGCTGCAACTTGAGACCATTGCTCCTTGTTCTGTCATCTGCCACCACTGAGAACAGTCTAGTTTCATCTTCTTTGGACTCACCCTTCAGGTAGTTGAAGGTTTTGATCAAATCCCCCCTCAGCCTTCTCTTTGGCAGACTAAATAAGTCCAGTTCCCTCAGCCTTGCCTCAGAAGTATGTTTGCTCACATGTGTAAATGCGTCTACACTTGCACTTTAATGTGCATTATCCTATGTTAATGCACATTAAAGTGTCACAAAAGTGCTTTAGTTAATGTGCATTAATATAGGCTAATGCACCTTTTTTCTAGTACCTCACAATGGAGGTACTAAATTTTAATGCACATTAGCAAAAGTGCACTGATGAACGTGTAGGCAAGCCGCAGCACTCTAACCGTTTTTGCTGCCTTCTGCTGGACTGTCCAGCTTGTCCACATTCCTTCTTTTGGGGGGTGAGGAGGGGGAACTACACAGTACTCTAGATGTGCCCCCTCCCAAAGCGTGTGAATGGAAAACTGGGTAAGGGGAATGCAGAGTACACTGGTCAGGAAGAGTTTCTAATGCTCATGCTGAGATCAAGGAGCTAATGTTCAACAGTCATCTGATGGTCATATACCTGCTGTAGCATAGCACAGCTCTCCATAGATGGCAGAACTGGAAGTAGCTACAGTCCTCAGGTCCAGGCTTCAGAGCAGCTAACCTTCCCTGGGCAGAGCCATTTATAGCCTACTTTTTTTTTTAATACTTCTCCAAGATCACTACCTAGGCCATTCTAGCATCTCCCAGTCAGCTGGGTAAAGCCTAACCTGTGCAATTCTCACCCTCCAGGCTCAGAACTCGGTATGCTGTTTGCAAGTTGAACTCGAGAAGCTGAGGTCTGCTGAAAATGTGGCATCCTCTGGGATGGAAGAAGCACAGCAGCTCAAGGTAATGCTGTGCAAATGGCACCTGTGAGCCAAGAAAGGCAAATGACTTGTCACAACCAGGCAGGGCCTTGTTCTGGTCTGTCTGGCTGCAGAAGTAGCATGCCTGTACCTCAGCTGATCAGGAGAACATAAGACGTGTCACTTTTTCGGTCAGACCATCGGTCCATCTTTCTCGGTATCCTTAGTCTTACACTGGCAGAGAGTGGATGCTACAAGGGAGAGTGAACTGGGTATGACCAGGGTTTTATCCATTGTTCCTCCCGCTTGCAGCCTCCAGCATGTAAGCTCTCAGAATTTCTGATCCAGAGGCTATATTCCTAACTCCCCTGCCCAATAGCTGCTGATGCACCTTTAGATCCAAGAATTTGTCCAGTCCTTTTTTTTTGAACCTGGCTAGACTGTCAGCTTCCCAGCACCTGGTAGCAATGAGTTCCACATTTGTAATTATACACGGTGTGGAAAAAACTTATTTTTATTTAAAACTTAGTACCTACTAGCTCCATTTTTGTAACCCTTAGTTCTTTTATCATGAGAGAGAGTAAATAATAAATTCTTATTTACTTTCTCTTCACCATGTAGTATTTTGTAAACCCACATGTTTCAAAGCGTGCTCCAGGATGGACTTGAGGTGTGGCCCTAATGCCAGGTGCCATGGGGCAAGGGGTAGGTCTGGGGTGGATAAAGCGTAGACAAGGCCATTGTAAACAGGGTTCCTGGGTTATCCCAGTGCACAGAGGTTGTAATTTGTTTTTTGCTTCTGCAGCAGCCCAGATTACAAGTGGTATAAAGTAGTGACACCTCCCACTCCCTCCTGCCCCTCTGCCCATGTCAGACCTAACACACAGCATGGCAAACTGGTGCCAGGGGGTCTGTGTTTGAGGTCTAGCTAGCTAATCAGGAGCAGGGTACAGAACACATGGTGTAGTCAAGCTCACTGCTCTTGCTGCAGTTGCCCTGGATGAGGATTGTATCTCTCATGTTGTACTGTACTGACAACCTGCTAACTCCCAGTTAAGGGATGTCCTTAAATTTCTGCTCATCCTAAGCTAGGGTATGGCCCATAACTCGTAAGGGTAGGACAGGAATTAAACAAGGGTGGGGAGGAATTAAGACTGACACTGCTTCTGCCTTCTGGCCTGACATGGGTGAAAGGGAGAGCTCCACGCCTTTAAAATGGACATCGGGGATGTCCTCCTTATGCTGCCTAGTCAGCCTTGCAAGAAAAGGAATGGACTCCATCCTCCCCTACTTGCTGCTCTGACTCGGCATCTAGTGAGACATGGGGTGTGGACACATGACACTTATTCCAGATTTATTTTTTCCCTAGACTTTACTCTTCAGTAACTTACTGCAGAGTAAGGAGCAGCCATGCAACCAGTTCTCTCAAGCTAGCTGCCTGCAACAAGTGCTATTAACTTAACATGAACAGGGCAGCATGACTTGGAGCAGTGGGGGGATATGGTGGAAAAATAATAGCTTCTGCCACGACCACATAGTCATGCCGGAAGTACAGCAGCAGCCAGAAGTTTGTGCTGTTCCCATTCATCCCACTGCCCTGAGCACCCTGCCACCTTAAGCCTCTAGGTCCTACTACCACACCTGGCCACTAGGTGGAATGTGAACCAGTCTGCACTGAAGAAACAGCTGCTTGGGTGAGCTCAACCAAGAGACTAGGCACCTGATTAGCAAACTTCTCATTACAGAGCAAAATTTAGTTACATAGTGTGCGTGTCCCCACCCTAGATTACCATTGACATCTGCTGCCAAAGCAGGTCTCCATGCTGTATCCTCGTGCGCAGAGGCTTAGGAGAGCCTTTTTAGAAGGGAGGTGGGGAAGACCTGGGGGAGGGGGGGGCGCAGCCTCCCATGCTGATCGTATGAACGCTGGTGCACTCTCAAAAGGGACTGGGGTCCAACTGGTAGATGATAATTTGGGATGATGGCTTTTCTTCATCTACTGTGTGTAGGAAAGGCTTGAAAAAGAAAAGAAATTAACAAAGGATTTGGGACGAGCTGCGACCAAGCTCCAAGAGTTGTTGAAGGTTACCCAGGAACAGTTGGGCAAGGAAAGAGAAATGGTGAAGAAATTGAAAGAGCAGCTTCAGGAAACGGTACTTCCTTGTCTGGGTGTCAAAACCATGTGTGTTTGCAGTGGTAGTCTAAAAAACATGAAAGAAGGCTGGAAGAATAGTTCTGCTCTGGCTTAGAGAAGAAAAAACTGGTGGAGGATTTGGTAGGTTCTCAAGCCTACAAAGGGTAGTTTATAAAGAGGGGAGGAACTACTATTCTGTGCCCAAAGGGAACAAGACAAGAAGGAATGGGCTTAAATTTATTGCAAGGGAGATTTAGGCTGGCTGTTAAACCTCTGAGGTGGTTCAGCACTGGAACGGATTCCCTATAGAGGTAGTAGAATCTCCATTCCTGGAAGTTTAAGTGCAGGTTGCACAAATGTTTGACTGATATGAATTAAATGGGTACAGTCCTGCCTTGAGCAGGGGGTTGGACTAGATGACCTCCCGAGGTCCCTTTCAGCCTTACTTTTTCTCTGATTCTGTGCCCCTCTTTCCTGAGGTGAGGGTTGATTGGAGGCAGCATGTACACTTGTAGTCCTTTGGGGGAGGCTGCCCCTGAAATGAACAAACCAGAAAAAGGGTGGGGGTTCTGTCCTCCATTTTGCATAATATATAACAAAGGCTTGGAGATGGAGATAACCTTGCTCATGGTTCTGTGGGAGGATCTGTAGCAGACCTAAGTCTCCTGAGCCCGGTCCTGGGCTATAATCAGTAACTTGGAGCTTACTTTTCAACAGGCTGATACAGATGCTGGGCAAGGGATGAGGTAATGTATTGTGCGTATGCATGCATACACGCACACAGATGGGAACTCCTACAAGAGTGTGCTATATATTAGCTATACTAATCTTGGCCATCTCCTTTTTTTTTTTTTTGTAGAGTTGGGGAGGGGAATAGATTTTTTCCTCCTCAATTTGTCTAGAATTACAGCTTTCCTTGAAAAGCCATGCTGAGGGCAGGATCTGACCAGAAGAGTGTTAGCTTAACGCCTGGGTTAGAGGTTCTTGAAGCCAGGTGCTGCAAAAAGTCTCTTTCTGATGTAATTATTCAACAGAAAAATTGTTGCTTCAATTTTGTGCGCCTTGGCATGTCTACACATGCACTGTAATGTGTATTAGCCTATGTTAATGTGCATTAAAGCATCACAAAAGTGCACTTTTAGCTAAATGTGCATTAACATAGGCCAGCGTGCCTTTTTTTAGTACTTCACAGTGGAGGTACTACACTTTTTAATGGGTATTAGCAAAAGCACGTTAATGAACTTGTAGATGTGCCTATGTGTGAACCACAGTGCAATAACCTATCTTTTACTGCTTCCTCTTGTCCCCCCCCTTGCAGGGAGAAGATAACGATGGTTCAAAAGAAGGCACTTCTGTCTGATCAGGTGGAGATCAAGAACTTGCTATTCAACTTACCAAAATGCCTTACACATTCCTAAAATATACGCTCAATTTACTGTAGCTAAAGATACAAGCCATTAGTGACCCAAAAACCTCCTAGTCCCAAAACATAAAGAGAGAATCCAAGTAAACCCTACAGACATGCATTTGTAAAGGAATCTTCATACTGTTTTGTACAACGGTTCCCTTGGCCAAGCTCCGACTGCATCAGGAAGCCAGTCCCAAGCCTTACCTTCTGTAGCAACGGAATCCATGAATGTGTGAAAAGGGAAGATTGTTTGTACATCAATCGGTGCAATTTCTTTTCCTCGCTTTTGGGAGTGAGAGGAAGTCTGAAATTAAGGCCCGCACCCTCAGTGGAGAAACACCTCTGCTGGGGGAGATGGCTGTTCAGTAACTGTCCTTATGAATTTCTGGGTGTTAATGCAATTAAACAGATGTTGTAGCTGACTGAGGGTTGATTTGGTCCTTCATTTGCTCTAGCTGGCTGATGGCTTGGAATATGTGAACAGCACAAAGTGCCCAGCTCTCTTTTGTGGGAGGTGGTGTGAGATCTTTGTCTTGAGGTCTTCTATATGAGAGGCTCTGATTACAGCCAGGGTGGACTTTCATGGGAGGAGTTATCAGTGAAAACCTTACAAACTGCTTCCCTGTATCCAGCAGTCATTGCCTCACTGTTTCATGGCTCTAAGATCTTCCTGTGCGTGAGGTGCTGGTAAGGCTGTGTCCTTGATGACGGGTACCAGGTGACATAGGCATAGTCTAGAGATGATCCTGCCTTGAGTGGAGGTTGGACTAGATTACCTCCTGAGTTCCCTCCCAATCTTACTTTTCTAGGATTCTAGGGCATTTTTCCATGTGCAAGTGCCACAACACTGGGTGCTTTGAAACCTCTTTGAAAAGCAGCCGGCACTGCAAAGCTTGTGGTTGTATAAGTGGCGAAATGCATGTCAACGCTGAAAAAATGGCAGTGGCGCACTTTTTTTGAACTAAAACACCTTGGAGTGCTTTAGTTCAAAAGTGCACCGCCACCATTTCCTGCACACTGACGTACATTTCACCACTTACACAACTGCACATGGCACAGCACAATGTGCATCAGCTCGTGTGCGGAGCAGACTCAATTAACTGCTCAGAAGCATGTGGCATGTCACCAAACAAAACAGTATGTGTATAAATGTCCCTAGGGCCTGGAGCTCTGCAGGAGGAAGAGAGATGGATCCTAGACAGGTATGGGGTTTTTTTAGCTTGGTACAGTCCTGGGTTTGCTTTAAAGCTCTGGTGAGCTTTTCATGGAAGGGGGTAAAGTATGTCATTTCTCCCCCCACCTCCAGTACTAGCTATTTTCACCTGTGGTCCACTGACCCCTGGGGGTCTGAAGACTGTCTAAGGTGCCTATGAAAGATGACTATGATCAATCGAAAATATGCAAATACCCACACTTGCAGTTCAAAGGGGTCCGCACCTCCATTAGACATTTTTTTAGGAGTTTGCAAATGAAGAAAGGTTGAAAACCACTGATTTTAAATCATCCAACCATGAGCCCAAGGCTGAATATGACCTGGGTCTAGAAAAGATCTCATCTTGCTAGGACTCTCACTACCTTCACTTACATTGGAACTGGTGGCAAAACTGTATAGGCTGCAGTAGTAAATGTGGGGTAAGACTAGTCTTCCAGGATAGGAGGGGATGGGGGGAGAATTTCTAAGTCTTTGCTTAGAGAAGCTTACCTTCCCATTTTGTGCCACGTGTCCTGAAGAGAACACGTGGGTGTTTTTAAGTCCTGAAACTTAATTGGACTCTAGGCAGGGCACTGAAGACTTGCATGTTAGCATCTAATTTAGTGGGCAGTGTCCTAGTGAAAATTGAGAACAGCCTGGCATCTACGTGTGCACCCCCATATACATGCAAGTGACCAACAGGGCAGCTAGGAGCCCTGCAATACGAAGTGCAGGGGCAGTGTCAGAGCTGGTTTGGCTCTGCGGCTCTTGCTTTTTTGGCAGTGAGCATGCCAGGCAACAGGGGGCGCAGGATGCTCATCTGAGCCCAGCTCTGCAGTGATCCCTCTGGCGCTGTTGTAGGACCATGTGCTGCAGGGAAAGGGGGAGAAGCTGGCTGCTCTGCCCTGCGGACAGCTGTATTGTTTAGGACTAGGATGGATACCCTCCTGCCTGTGGGTTCACGCAAGCACAGAGAATTCAGATTTTGTTTTCATGGAGGGGAAATCTAGCTCTGTCTGCTGTCTTTGCAGTGCTATAGCTGTCCTTGCAGGCTGGCTTGTAGCACAGCAAGAGGTATCTGTTCTGCACCAATGTCTGTTTTAGGTGGGAGGGTGTGGATTTCCTATGGCTCTGGGGGTCCAGCATGCTTTTTCTGTCCAAAGAGACAGGGCTGCTGTCTAGATGCAGTGCCAGGGCCTGTTCATCTTCGTGGCATCCCGTTTCTCTTGGGGACACGGTTAAGGTGTCTGTTGTTGAGGGAGTGCCTTCATTTTTTTTTTTTTAAGCCTGAAGTTGCACCAAGCAACAAGGAGGAGTGGGAGAACTCGATTTCAGGGGTGTGAGCAGGGGGAATGGGATGGCTCCTGTACACTTAGGGACTTGCATATCAAAATGGTGGTTAGATACCTAATAAAACAAGATCTGGCTGATGGGCCTATGTGGCAGGATGCCCCTTGGGGGGGCTAGGTGGGGTGTATCTGGACCTTCAGGAAGTACCCTGTCCCACCTGCTTGCTTTATGTAGCTGCCAGGGCTAGCAGTGAGCTGGGTCCTGCAACTGGCCAGCTGCCTGGATGATGGGTTCCTACTGAATGACTCTTGTGACTGTCTCAGCTGTATGTGTATACCCAGCCTCAAACCAAGCTTGTTAGGCAGTGTGTGCAAGGCAGCTGGCATGAGATGTTTCTTTCTGTACTGAGGCATAACTAGAGCATTTACATGATGTCAACTTTCCACCTAGCAGTTCCCAAACTCTAATTCCTTTTACTCTGCTGGGGTTGGGGCTTCCGATGGGCTGCTCTGTGCTGTGGAAGCCTATTGCTCCCAAGGTAGCGGTGTTCCCTAGCTGCTGGAGTCGGCTGTTTGACAGTCGTGGGAGCAGAGCCACTCTGCCAAGGCAACAGCACCCACAACTCGCCTAGGAAAAGGCAGATGAGATGCACTGAGTGCTTCTGCAGTATAGAACTGACTCCAAGGCAAGTGACACCTGGCCCAGGCCAAGCCCTTTGTCCTGAGAGGTGTGTGGGGGGGGTGAGGGGTGGCTTCTGGAGTTTTTAGGGCCAGCTGGGATCATTTGTTCACCTGGTCAAACACGGGCCAGAGTGCTTTATCCAGCAGCTCCTGTAATGAGCCTGGTAATGTGTGTCTGACTGAAGCATCTTCTGTATCCTCCAGGTTTGAGCTGACCAGATGAAATCCTTCACTACTTCCCCTTGGTATCTTCTTTCAAGGAGTGAGCCCTCTTTCTTTGTGTAAAACTACACCTCTTATTACTAATTTTTGATTTTTGTCTGATACCTATTGAAACCGGACACATATCTCTGTTAACATTTGGAGCCCTTCAGCACCTGTATCCCCTCCCCAGGAAGTTGCTTAGGCGCATGTAATACTCATCTCTGTCATGCTAACAGCACTTATCTCCTTCAGTCTTCCTTGAATGCATTTTTCTCCCCCTCTCCCTAACAATGTTGTTCCTTTCTACCCTTTCTCTGTTTTTTTTCCACATCTTTAAAACACAAACACCAAAACTGGGTGCTGTACTTCAGTGTTAGTCTCAGAGAGATCACAGCAGTGTAAATATCCTCCCCATGCTGTGCTACTCATGCATCTAAGGGTTGCCACTCCATCACCCCGGCAGCTTTTGTGTCTTGTCCACTCTGACCCCCAAATCTTTCCCAGTATATGCTTCCCATGTTCTGTAGGCAAGACGTACATATTTTGTTTCCAGCTACCAAACTTTGTCTTTGGTTCTATTTTAAAATTAATGTTGCTTTCAAACAGGCCCAGCCAACTAACTAATATGGACTTCTCTGAGACTGCCCTGTCCTTATTCTTATTTATCACACTCTACTAGTTTTTTTGTTTGGTTGGGTTTTTTGTCCTCCATAAGGTGTGGGGTATTTTTTGTTTTTGTTTTTTGTTTTTTTTCTTCCTGTGTGCTTGCATATCACTGGTAAAAACATGGAGTAGTGCTAGGCTAGTATTGATCTATATAAATTCAGAAGAAACGTCTTCCATAATCTCTTCCCCCAGCCCCCCCCTAAATAATGATTCCCTAACAAGATGAGGTGCTTGAAGTCTGTCATCAGTCAATTCTTAATCCTTTTAATGTGTACTTGCATGCTACTCAGTACTCATTCATTTAATGAAAACGTTTGTTTGGAACCAAGTCCAAATGGCATACAGACGTCTGTTTATAGATATGGTTACTTTTTTTTAATCAAAAAAGCCAAGAATGAAATTAGGTGTTGGACAAGGTCTAATTCCCATAGTGCCTTTTCTGGCACTGTATTTTCTGGAGCAAGAAAGTGTGCACATGAAGGGCAGGGGCCTCTGGATCCAAAACACCCTGAACTGGAGCACTTCCCTGTGCTCCCTGCTACCCTCTGCAAGCCTACAATAGTGACCTGGGGCCAGTAATGTAACTAGGTGAGGGTAACGGGGGCACCAGTAATATGGGGGGAGAGAGGCTGCGTGGCAAGTGGGACAAGTGGAATGGTGCTTCTCCCCCCCCACCCTGGGAGCCTCTGCCTGAGTTGGCATACCTGTACCTGCTAGCACATCTGGGGCAGGGGGGAAGCAAACAGGGAACCAGGGAGCCCATGCCATGGGGCTGCTGCTACCAGAGCCAGAGCGGCTGAGAACACGGGGGCCCAAGGGCTCCTCAGGTAGAGGGTTGTCCTCTGAAATGTGTAAAACTTCCCATGTGTCCATCATCTTACCCCCCCCCCCCGCGAAAATAAG